AAGTATAGGTATTTTACAGTATTTGCACAAGTGACCAAGTATATAAGGGCACTCATGTACTTTTACAGTTCACTTTTCAATTTTATGAAACCCTAAGTTTTTCTTCCATCTCTCTCTCGCCGCTCTCTCTCTTGCGATGTGTTCAATCATCAACATTGTCATGGTATCAGTCGTCGGCGCCTCGCCGATCTGATAGATATTTTCTGATTTTCGCTGCTTCTCCTCTATCCTGCCACTCTCCGGCGTGATTTTTCTCTCCATTTTTCATTTTTTTTTTCTTGCATCTGTACGATTTTAATCTGAATCTGTACGATCTACTCTCTAATCTGCACGATTTCGATTTCTTTTGTGCGATTCTTGTTTCGATTATTCATCTCTCAGTATACTACTTACGGTCGATGGCAAACCCTAATCTGTCAAAATAGACTTAGGTGAATTTCATTTTGCTGTTATATGTGAGCCGTTAGATCAATACACAATCGTACGTTCATTTTGTTGTTATATGTGAGCCGATAGATCAATACACTATCGTACGAGTTGTCTGTATGTGTGATCTGACGGTTCAAACTTTTGTGTGAATAATAGGGTTGAATCTTTCGTTGATGGCTGAACATGAACGAGTAATGAATTTTTTAAATATAATATGTAATATATAGTTTTTCCCCTCTTCTCTATAATCTCACTAACACAATTAAAATAAAAGTCATTATTATATATTTTTCTAACTGCAAATATAATCAATCAATATGTATTATTTTTACAAAGTTTTTTTTTAATTAAAATTATACTAACTTTCATTATTTATGGATGGTTATTTTGTAGTCTATTTTTGTTCTTGGTCCTAAATTACACTATTTTTTAGTTTATTTGCTATGTTTGGTAGACTAATAAGCTACCTTATAACTTATTTGATTAACTTATAAGTTCCCTATATTTAAAAAAAATCCGTTTGGTGGGACTAACTTATTTAAAAAACTCGAGCTTATTTAAAAAGATACCAAATAAGCTCGTTGAAATTTTTATTTAATTTAACTTATCAGCTAATTTTACCAAACACTTTTATCATATAAGCTAGTTTTTCAGTTATAAGTCATAAGATATAAGTTATAAGCTCGAAAATTACTGATAAATTATAAACTAGTTATCAGCTATCAGCTGGTTTTCCCAAACATAACCTATGACTTGTTTATAAATAATTTATTGATGTACTTTTATGAATGAATAAATAAATAAATAAATAAATTACCATCCGTTAATATAGAAGCCCACTGTTATTGGGCTTCTCTAAATAAATTGAGAGGTTAGAGTTTAGAGACCCACAGAGCCCAACTCTGAGAGTCCGCGTTGGCACCGCGTAAACGCGTTCATGGAGGAGAGAGAAAATGGAGCTAAATAATCCCGTCTTTATCTTCTTCCATTAAAAAGAAGAAAAATTTAGCCGTCGCCATTAAAATACTCGGCGTCCTTTTCCTCACAATTGTTCGATCATTTTTAGCTGATAATATATAAAGCTGACTTCGTTTCCTCTGCAAAAAAACACCCAAAAACCAGAGAGCTTTTATTATCTCCTTAACAATCTTTCTTAGTTTCTTGTTTTGTCATTTCTTCGAGAAGATTCCAGAAATTAGGAATATCCTTAGCTGAGAATAAGGAGAAATGGCGGATCAGTTGACAGATGATCAGATCTCTGAGTTTAAGGAAGCCTTCAGCCTATTCGACAAGGATGGCGATGGTTTGATTCAGTTCTTGTTCTCTTTGATTTTTTTGGCTTTGATCTCTGGGTTGATTCTATTTGTGTATATAATTGCTTATGTTTGGAATTTGTTTGTGGGTTTTCGTATTCTATGTCAGATCTGATTGCAAAAAGGGAAAAAATTGATTCTTGATTTTGAATTTAACTACAGTCTAATTTCCAAGTGCTTTGGTTTTGGGGTCAGCTGGGATATGTTATTTGGCTTTGATGGATATCAATATATGTCTACAAAAGGAGACCTTTTTTTTCCTTCGATTTGATTATGGATTCAATTTATTAGAACTTGGTGTAAAGCTGTGTTTTTTTTAAACATTAACTGGAAAATGTTCCTAAACAATCTTTTGGGTGGATTTTTAGGAACAATGGTTTGATGCGTTTCTTCCACTTTTGTGAAGATTTCCCAGTAGTGTTTGCTCGATAACATGTTTAGACCCTGAAAAGTTGAGGTGAAAAAACGACGAAAATTTTAATTTATTGGATGTTGTTTCGAAGTTGGAAGCATTTCGAGTGAAGCTTATGCTTTGTAGCCATAAGCCAAGTTGAAGGGCTAACTCGAGCTCAAGCATTCTTGTGAGAATTATGTTAGAGGCAGTCATGTTTAGGGAAATGCTACGGTTCCGTTATGGAATCATTCCGTCGGGTTAAAAACTGTTAGATCATCATGTAACCGTCATGTAAACGTCGGGGATAGTTGATTTAACGGTTACAAGCTCCAACTGAATGGTTCCGTAATGAGACCGTAGCATCTTCCTCATGTTTAATATGCTTTCCATGGTTAGTTAGCTATTATAGCCAAATTAATTGAGCTGACCCTGCGAATCCTCATTTATGTGGCCAACCCAATATATATCTGCAGCAACAAAATTGGATTTGCTTGTTGTTTTCATATTTTCTTACTCTTTTCGGTCGATAATACTTTTTTTCCCATTCGCCACATTCGGTCGAGATTCTATGACCAATTACGAGCTTCGTTAACTCTCCATTTTCAAGTAGACCTTACTCAATCCATACTTTATGAAACAACATAAAACCATACGTGACATTTAATTTATACATTGTCGAGGAAAGTACAAAGGGTTTAATTTATGAAAAAAAAATAACCGGTCTTGTTTTATTGCAGGCTGCATCACAACCAAGGAACTCGGGACCGTGATGAGGTCTTTGGGGCAGAACCCAACTGAGGCGGAGCTGCAGGACATGATAAATGAAGTGGATGCCGATGGGAATGGGACCATAGACTTTCCAGAGTTCTTGAACCTGATGGCTCGTAAGATGAAGGACACGGACTCAGAGGAGGAGCTCAAGGAGGCTTTCCGAGTGTTCGACAAGGATCAAAATGGCTTCATCTCAGCTGCCGAGCTTCGCCACGTCATGACCAATCTTGGCGAAAAACTCACGGATGAAGAAGTTGACGAGATGATCCGTGAGGCTGACGTGGATGGCGATGGCCAGATCAACTACGAGGAGTTTGTCAAGGTCATGATGGCCAAGTGATGATGTGGCACTCGACTCAATTTGGGTAAAAATTTGATGGAAAAATATTTTTTTTTTTTAATTAGTGTAATATGGGTGCCCTTAATTTCATTTTTCTTAATGGTTTTTGTTTACTCTATGGGTGGAGTTCGGGAGATGAGTTTATTATTATGTTCTTTCGTTTAGGGTCTCGTTGAACTTGTTTGGTTCTCTCAACTTGAATTGTGTTTACTCTTTGGGGGCATTCTTGTTTGCTCTAACCTTCTTCCTAATGGGGTTTTTATGTAAGAATGTCATTACATTGTTGCGTTCATCGACAAGTTTAGTTCGGCACATGGAAAGAGGTTTTGTGTTGCTCTTATGCTTTTTGAGCTTTTGATTTGGTGAATGTTTTAGTGTGTTATAGTAAAGATGTGCAATGATGTCATAATAGTTCATGTTGCTTGTCCTGTGAGAGGGAAGACATATATCACTTAAATGAGTCCTTTCAAGTAAAGTTTCCAATTCAAAATATTGCCAAATTTGTGAAATTGAAAATATTCTTGTTTTGAAAGTTCAGTTGTAAGTGACTTGGAGGGAAAATGTTGTGTGCAATAATAAACTTGGTAACGAAACTAAGATAGATCTAATAGGTAGAGAGTTATATATATAAGCATATTTTTATGCAAAACAATATAATATAGATAAATAAAAGTGCACTGTTTAATACTTAAAGTATAAATTTGCAACTTTTAATAAAAGGTATTGATAGGTTGATCTACTTAACAGTTGTGCAGTCATCCAAAAGAATTTGTAATAAAATTTTTAAAAAATATCAGTTTCAATTCAAAATCAAATTCAATTTTAACTCAAATGTACTATTCTCAATATTATCAATATGATTAATAATATCAATCAATTAATTTTATATATCACATCAACTTTAATTCAAAATTCATGTATTAACATAATTTTAACTACTCAACACTTGCACTCATCTCATATTTTTACATCGAATCAACTTTAATATTTTATTTGAATATTATTTTAATACAAAATTAAAATTTCACTTAAACCCAACTCAACCACGTTTCTCAAAATTAATTAGGTTAAACAAAAAAATCAATCAAAACCAGGACTTACACCATCTCCAGCGTTGCGCCAGAATTAGCTTTTTGCGCTAGAGTAGTAAGAAATACTTGCCCAAAGTTGCGCTAGAAGAGAGACGGGAATAGTGTTGCGCCATATGTGGCGCAACACAGTAGCACAACGCTACAATCTTTATTTATTTATTTTTTATTTTTTTTGTGTAATATTATTGATAAATTTTTGTATAATGTGTATTAGTAAATTTATATTTTATGCTAAATAATTTTGTGCAATGTATTTTTTATGCTAAATAATTTTGTATATTTTTTGGTGTATTATAATTTTATTTTGGAACTTTTTAATATTAAAATAGTACCATATGTATAATTTTGTATTTTTTATTGGTGTATTATAACTTTATTTTGCAACTTTTTAATATTAAAATGGCATCATATGAATTAAAATTTAACACAAACAAGTAGATTTGATTAGAATTAAAAGTTTACAACAAACGTAAATCATAAAATACACAAATAAAAATAACATAATATTAAAATCAAAAGTTTTCAACATACATAAATCACAAAATACACAAATAAAAACAACATAATTAAATATACATATATATACCAATTTATTTGAAATGAAAATGAATATAAAAATAATATATTTGATGTAAAGTAAAATGTAGAGATAAGGACTGGAGACATAATGTTTCACTCTACTCTATAATAGAGTAAAGTCCGCGCTAGAGTAGAAATAAAGACTAAAGATGGCCTTACATCCCATTGCACCCTTATCCAAGATAACTCCATAGGATCCTTTTAGTTCAAAAAATCTAAAATATGACCTCTTGAATTGTTGAACCAATTGAGCCTATGTCATGCAAAATCTTATGTTTCTAACTAACAAGTCAAACTATAGGAAATGCTACAGTCCCGTAAAGGAAACATTTCGTCGGGATTTGCAACCGTTAAATCATCGTGTAATCGTCGTGGATAGTTGCGGTTACAAACCTCGACGGAATGATTCCGTAACGGAACCATAAAATCTTTCCAAACTATAATGTATACGTGGCAATTAATCCAGCCAAACAAACTACCAAACTCTTGAAAGGTAGGTGGCTCGAATTCCAAAAGCCCTGCTATTAATGTTCTTATTACTTCATTTTTTTATTTATAACATTCATCATACCTTTCAACTTTCATTATCATTTTCTTCCTGCATCCTTAAATTCTGCTAAACAGTCTGTGTGAAAATGGAAACAAAGGTTGGATCAAAGAAGAAGATACTCTGCTTGCATGGATACAGAACAAGTGGAAGCTTCCTTAAAAAGCAAATCAGCAAATGGGATCCTTCCATTTTTGCTGATTTTGTGATGGTATGTTCCATAATAAAAAAGATAAAAAAGAAATAAAAGTAATGGGAGATTCTACGTTGTTCCCGTACTGAACGTAACGTTAGATCAACTATCAACGACGGTTACATGATGATCTAACGTTACAAAACTCGACGGAATGGCTCTGTAACTTCCCAAAAGTAATAATACTGCATCTATGAGACTCTTTTTGTAGGAATACCCAGATGGAATCTACCCAGCTGGGGGAAAATCCGAAATCGAGGGCATTTTTCCACCTCCTTATTTCGAGTGGTTTCAGTTCAACAAGGTACGGTAAAAAAAAATCCACAAGTAGTGATTAATTGCTAGCATAATAAGATAGATGCTAACACATTGATAATGTTATTAACAGATTTATCTTATAACGCGTTTTGCTATTCGTTTACTTAGGATTTTACCGAGTACACGAACTTGGAAGCATGCATAGATTATCTGTGTGATTATATAGTGAGCAAAGGTCCATTTGATGGCCTGCTTGGCTTCTCTCAGGTACTTATTTACTCATCTCTTACAAAATGCTGTATAGTCATAGCCAAATTCTTCGGTTATTTTTGTTGTAGTTAAAAAAACCATTAATCTTTCGAAGAACTTAATATCCGAAATATGTTTGTTCATAGGGAGCTACATTATCGGCCCTTCTAGTTGGATATCAAGCTCAGGTTAGAGAAAGTTAATAAACAAGAAGTCAAAGAAAAAAAATTGAATTTTGATACTAATCTTGATGTGCAATGTCATTTTTTTT